AGAGCGGTTGCGGAACAGCTTGGTAGGTTTCTGGATGAAACATCGGCTCTGGATCCATTCCAGTCCGGCTTCCGCACTGGTCATGGGACCGAGACGGCTCTGGTCGCCTTAACAGATGATCTCCGTAGGCAGCTGGATCGAGGCGGGTCGGGGCTGCTGATTCTTCTAGACCTGTCAGCAGCCTTCGACATGGTCGATCACGAACTCCTGGACCACCGCCTTGCCGACGTGGGGATCCAGGGCACAGCCCTTCAATGGCTGCGCTCGTTTCTCTCTGGTCGGGGACAGAGGGTGGCGCTTGGGGGGGAATTGTCATCCCGCCACTCCTTGGTGTGTGGAGTGCCTCAGGGTGCGATTCTCTCCCCGATGCTTTTTAACATCTTTATGCGCCCCCTTGCCCAGCTTGTCCGGAGTTTTGGGCTGGGCTGCCATCAGTATGCTGATGACACCCAACTCTATCTGTTGATGGATGGCCATCCTGACTCGGCCCCAGACACACTGATCAGATGCTTGGAAGCTGTGGCTGGATGGTTACGTGGGAGCCGGTTGAAGTTAAATCCTTCGAAGACAGAGGTCCTCTGGCTGGGACGGGACGATATGAGATTGAGGGGGCAACTCCCTTCTCTTGAGGGGGTGCAATTAATGCCAGCACCGTCCGTTAAGAGTTTGGGTGTAATCTTCGATACCTCCCTCTCCATGGAGGCGCAGATTGCAGCTATAACAAAGGCGGCATTTTTTCATCTCCGCCAGGCTAAGCAGTTGGCTCCTTACCTCTCTCGCTCTGACCTAGCCACTGTGATCCACGCGACGGTCACCTCCAGACTGGATTATTGTAACTCGCTCTACGTGGGGCTGCCCTTGAGACTGACCCAGAAACTCCAGCGGGTGCAGAATGCCGCAGCGAGACTCCTTACGGGGTCTTCGCTGCGAGACCACATTCATCCGGTGCTATACCAGCTGCACTGGCTCCCGGTGGAGTACAGGATCAGGTTTAAGGTGCTGGTTTTAACCTTCAAAGCCCTATACGGCCTAGGACCCTCGTACCTACGGGACCGCCTCTCCTGGTATGCCCCACAGAGGAACTTACGGTCTTCAAATAAAAGCATCTTGAAGGTCCCAGGCCACAAAGAGGTTAGGCTGGCCTCAACTAGAGCCAGAGCTTTTTCGGCTGCGGCTCCAACCTGGTGGAACGCCCTGTCGCAAGAGACAAGGGCCCTGCAGGACTTGACATCTTTTCGCAGGGCCTGTAAGACAGAGCTGTTCCACCAGGCCTTTGGTCAGGGCGCAGCCTGACTCCCTCCTTTGGCAATCTCTACAAAGCTTTAGTCTATGGTTGCCATCAATTTGTATTTTAATTAATTTTTAGAATGTATTTATAATGTTGTACTGTTTTAGTGTTGTTAGCCGCCCTGAGCCCGGCTTCGGCTGGGGAGGGCGGGATATAAATAAAATTTATTATTATTATTATTATTAGGACCAAGGCATTTTCCCACTTAAGATGAATAGTAAAGGCAGCTTAATGTTGTCCAAGGACAAGATGGTACCCTCCATGCAGTATACCAAGGGCGAGGAACCTGTTTCAGCACCCTTCTGCATAATAAAAAATAAAAAAAATAATTTATTATTTGTACCCCACCCATCCGGCTGGGTTTCCCCAGCCACTCTGGGCAGCTTCCAACAAAGATTAAAAATACATTAAAATGTCACACATTAAAAACTTCCCTGAAATGAGCTGGCTTCAGATGTCTTCTAAATGTCAGGTACAGTGGTACCTCGGGTTAAGTACTTAATTTGTTCCGGAGGTCTGTTCCTAACCTGAAGCTGTTCTTAACCTGAAGCATAACTTTAGCTAATGGGGCCTCCCGATGCTGCCGCGCCACCGGAGCACGATTTCTGTTCTCATCCTGAAGCAAAGTTCTTAACCTGAAGCACTATTTCTGGGTTAACGGAGTCTGTAACCTGAAGCGTATGTAACCTGAAGCATATGTAACCTGAGGTACCACTGTACAGTGGTGCCTCGCAAGACGAAATTAATTCGTTCCGCAAGTTTTTTCTTCTTGCGAGTTTTTCGTCTTGCGATGCACGGTTTCCCATAGGAATGCATTGAAAATCAATTAATGCGTTCCTAGGGAAACCGACTTCAGACCAGGTCCGGGGACAGTCTGTCCCCCGACCTCTTCTGAAGGCTGGGGGGGGGGACAAGGGCTTTTCTTCCCACCCCCATCATTTTAAAAAACCCCGGGACAGCAGAGGGCTTCTCCGCTGTCCGGGGCGATCTTAAAATGCTGGCGGGCGGCATTTTAAAATCGCCCCGGGACAGCGGAGGACTTCTCCGCTGTCCGGGGCGATTTAAAAGCCCCTGGGAAGGCAGGCAGGGGGGACAAAGACTTTTGCCCCCCGCCAGCCTTCAGAAGAGGTCCTGGACCTCTTCTGAAGGCCAGCGGGGGGCAAAAGTCTTTGCTCCCCCTGCCTGCCTTCCCGGGAGAGCGGAGAAACGCGCTGCGTTTCTCCGCTCTCCCGGGAGGGCTTTTAAAGGCAGGCAGGGGGGACAAAGACTTTTGCTCCCCCCCCGCCTGCCTTCAAAAGCTGTCCGGCCAAGGCTTCGCGGACCTCTCCGCAAGCAGCGGCAGCGCTGCCGCTGCTTGCGGAGAGTTGCCGGCATGCCGAAGCCTGCGCGCGCTGAGATCAGCGCGCCCAGGCTTCGCGGCCCCGCCGCCCGGCATCAGGACGATGCCCCGATGCCGGGCGGCGGGGGGAGAGGTTCCCGCCCCACCGCCCGGCATCGGGGGGAGAGGTTCCCGCCCGGCATCGGGATGATGCCCCGATGCCGGGCGGCGGCGGGGGGGGAGGTTCCCGCCCCGCCGCCCGGCATGGGGCATCGTCCCGATGCCAGGCGGCGGGGGGAGGCGTTCCCGCCCCGCCGCCGGCATCGGGGCATGGCGGCGGGAGGAGGTGTCCCCGCCTTGCCGCCAGGCTTCGGAGGAGGTCCGAGGACAGTGGGGAAGACGCGCTGCGCTTCCCCGCTGTCCCGGAGATTTCCCTATGGGCTGTCGTCTTGCGAAGCAAGCCCATAGGGAAATTCGTTTTGCGAAGCGCCTCCAAAACGGAAAACCCTTTCGTCTAGCGGGTTTTCCGTCTTGCGAGGCATTTGTCTTGCGAGGTACCACTGTAGTTGTTTATCTCTTTGACATCTGATGGGAGGGCGTTCCATAGGGTGGGCGCCACCACCGAGAAGGCCCTCTGCCTGGTTCCCTGTATGTAGCTTTGCTTCTCGCAGTGAGGGAACCGTCAGAAGGCCCTCGGCGCTGGACCTCAGTGTCCCAGCAGAATGATGGGGGTGGAGACGCTCCTTCCTCTGGGGACCACATGCTAGGGTCAGCAGGACCAAAGTCAGAAGTGGGAAGAGCAACAAATGCAAATTTTACTTCAACATCGTCCACTCCACTTGAAAGCAGCAGTCTGGCTTAGTCAGTGCAGGGCAGCCACCATGGCAAATTGACACATGCACTTCTGTCCACTCAGTGCCTGATGCTTGAAGCAGCTGCTAAACTCTGCCTAGTGGTAGAGCTGGCCTCTATTTTGTATGGTTTAATGCATCAGTCTTTCCCCCTCTGTTTTTATTGTCCATTGCTTTGGGGAAATTGCATGGATTAGTAAAAAAGTCGCCATCGTAATAATAATAATTTGCCCCCTGAGGCAGAAAAGCCCACACATCCCTCTCCCTGGCAGTAAAAAGTCAGAGAAAAGACTGATGCAGGACAGTAAGCAATAACGCTTATCACAGTTCAAGACATAAATTGTTGTTAGGTAAAGGGACCCCTGACTGTTAGGTCCAGTCGTGGCCGACTCTGGGGTTGCGGCACTCATCTTGCTTTATTGGCCGAGGGAGCCGGCGTACAGCTTCCGGGTCATGTGGCCAGCATGACTAAGCCGCTTCTGGCGAACCAGAGCAGCGCACGGAAACGCCGTTTACCTTCCCGCCAGAGCGGTACCTATTTATCTACTTGCACTTTGACTTGCTTTCGAACTGCTAGGTTGGCAGGAGCAGGGTCCGAGAAATGGGAGCTCACCCCGTCACGGGGATTCGAACCGCTGACCTTCTGATCAGCAAGTCCTTGGCTCTGTGGTTTAACCCACAGCACCACCCGCGTCCCAATGTTAGGCTGGAGGTAAATGCAACCTGACCCCTAGGATCTCTCACCCATACACAATCCCTTATGAACAGAAGGGTCTAGACTGCTTATTCTTCATTTTGGGTACCAGGTACCAGTGATGGTGGCACAGTGGTAGACAGACAGGTCTGAGCCACAATACAAAATCTGCTGTAAAGTTCATCCACTCAAGAGCCTCTGAAAGTAGTCTTCTCTCTGACATGACTTCAAGCAGGGACGGCTCTACTACTGGTCAGAGTGAGGTGGCCACCTCAAGCACCTGATTTTTATGTGCCAGCAAGTGTAAGCAAAATTCTGGTTATTTCATTTATTACTTTATTAATGTTCTTTCTTTGTCTGGCTGGAATGTAGCCTACGGTGCAAAAGGTTACAACCATTGACCACTTTTTGGTCTCTGACGTAGCCCACCCCTGGCATATATGGCCCCCCCACCCCACCCCAGTTGATGATGAAGGAATTCGGGCTGCAAAGGTTCCCCCACCCCCTGCACAAACCCATTCATGGTTCCTTGCGCACTGTTTGGAAGCTACCTGGACCTTTAAATGAATATTGCATCGTAAACAAATGGATGAAACCCACCTAAGTAGTAATGGAAAGGAGATCTTTTTCCCCACCAGGATGAAAAAAAATGGTACAAGTGCCAAAATTCAGCACCTGGCACACATTCAGGACTGCTGGATTATAACAAGGAATTGGCCAAGGCCTCCTCTGATCAAATAATAATCACAAATAACACGGAGTCTCTCATTTGCTCCACCTTGTTAACAAGGTGAAAGCCACACCCATTAGCAACCTGAGTTGATAGCAACCCTTTCCTACGTAGGCAAGATCAATGGGCAAATACATCGTCTTTCAGATACACTCCTTTTGGCTTTCATCCGGGTTTTCTCCTCTTGCAGCTGAAGCTCCAAGCCCTCCATCACCAACCCTTGGACCGCATGGACTTTGGGAATGAGAGTAAGAGCAGCCGTCTTACCACCTTCCGAGAGCAAGTTCAGCGCCTCAGCAATGAAAACGTAAGTGTTTGGTTTGAAACGAGTCTTCTGCTGCCTTCCTGCTCCCCATAGCCTCCACCTTTTCCCACCTGGTGCCTTAGAATCATAGACTCATAGAACTGAAGAATTGGAAGGGACCCCAAGGGTCATCTACACCAACCCCGTGCAATTCACAAATCACAGCTAAAAAGCACCCATGACAGATGGCCATCCAACCTCTGAGATGGCTATTGAACCTCTTTAGTCCTTGTTGGACTACAACTTATTATTATTATTCAATATCACTATTTATTATTATTTCTCTATTTACTCATAAACATTGATCAAAGTGACTTAGAAACACAGTAGAAATAATAATAATAATAATAATAATAATAATAATAATAATAATTGTAATACAAAATGCAATATATTAGGGGAAATGGGGTTGTTGTGTTGTTGTTTTTAAAAAGTGTACATTAGGCAAACGGCACACAAAAATGTATTTATTAGGACAATTTGGTACTAAATTACGGATGAATTTTCATGAGGACTCCCCGCCCCCAAACAAACTGATAAGGAAATTGAATTTAAGATTTGAAATAGGGGAATAATAATAATAATAATAATAATAATAATAATAATAATAATAATTTATTATTTGTACCCCACCCATCTGGCTGGGTTTCCCCAGCCACTCTGGGCGGCTTCCATAGAAACCAAAGATACAGTAAAGTATCACATGTTAAAAACTTCCCTGAACAGGGCTGCCTTAAGATGTCTTCTGAATGTCAGGTAGTTATTTATTGCTTTGACATCTGATGCGAGGGCGTTCCACAGGGCGGGCACCACTACCGAGAAGGCTCTCTGCCTGGTTCCCTGTAGCTTTGCTTCTCGCAATGAGGGAACCGCCAGAAGGCCCTCGGCACTGGACCTCAGCGTCCGGGCAGAACGATGGGGGCGGAGACGCTCCTTCAGGGAAATGAGATAAATTGAATTGGACCAATTTGCCTGTGCCTAGTCTGAATTTTGTGGGCTGAATATGTTTTCCTCCCTTCCATGCAGGTTCAGCTGCAAGACAGGAACGAGAGGCTCTGCGCCAAACTTGGGGAGCTGCAGGAGAAAATGGGGCAGGTGGCTGGCTCCAAAACCGACTTGTCGTCAAGACTGGTTCATAGTGAAGAGGAGAAGCTCAAGGTAAGGCATAGGGCAAGGTCCCTGCTGCACAGAGACAATTAATAACACTTTGCTTCTCTCCCGATTACATCCAGTTGTTCAAAATGCTTCACACACAGTGCCTTGGTCATGGCCTTATGGCAGCCCTGCGAGGTAGGCCAGGCTTTCTTTGTAAATCAGGGGTGAGAAAACAGTGACTCTTAGACCCTAAATGCCGTAATTTTATTATTTATTTCATTTATTTATTGTACGTATTTACATGCTGGGCAGCAAACAAAAATCCTAGTTAAAAAAAATTCTAAAACAGATAGAAACACTCTAAAAACAATTCCAAAAAAAAAATCTAAAAGCAGTGCAGACAGGGGTGGACTTTTGTAATATGGTGCCCTGAGCGAGGACCAAATTTGGTGTCTGTCCCTAAATATTTCTTATTTTCATAATAATTCCTTTTGGAACAGAGTTTGTTAAAAGTGCCCTTCCCCTTCTCACTTCCCATTATTTGCATGTTCTCGTGCACGTCGGTTTGACTCCAGTGTGGTGTAGTGGTTAAGAGCGGTAGTCTCATAATCTGGGGAACCGGGTTCGCGTCTCCGCTCCTCCACATGCAGCTGCTGGGTGACCTTGGGCCAGTCACACTTCTCTGAAGTCTCTCAGCCCCACTCACCTCACAGAGTGTTTGTTGTGGGGAAGGAAGGGAAAGGAGAATGTTAGCCGCTTTGAGACTCCTTAAAGGGAGTGAAAGGCGGGATATCAAATCCAAACTCTTCTTCTTCTTCTTCTTCTTTTAAGCATCTCCGAATGTTCTTATGTTCCTGTCCTCTCAGATTTCCAAGGACTTCGTTGATTTCCAGATTGAGACCAACAAAATGAGAGAGCGTCACGAAGCAGAAAACTTTGAACTGAAGAATCTGGTAACTGACACAACTTTTTGTCATGTTTATTCATTTCCATGGGCCTACGTTAAGTGAAAGTTTGTGGACTCCCAACCCATCATTTTCTTTATAGTCTCACTGCACGACAGTGCCCAAGATTCTTTGCACAAACCGGGGACAAGGCTTTGTAGAACCAGATGCAGAAGCTGGGAAGAGCTATAGTAGTCCAGGGTCACAGGGGATTGAAGACTTGTTACCATTTCTGCAGCAGCTTCCTAAAGCCATCCAATCAGCATGACAGGGGAGCTTTTTAGCCTATGAAAAGGAGCCTCCTCACCCTTTGTGCTGATTGCAGCCAATCAGAGGGAAAGGAGGTGAGTCAGCCACTGAGGATTGGCTCCAAGGGTCACTCTGAAGAACAGGGCTGGTCCAGAATGGCCCACTGGGGTTGGCTAAGAGGGACAGGGCAGGTAGAGCAGCCAGGAATGCTGCCAGTCAGTGTAGACTATACTGGGCATGATGGATAGTGGTCTGATTCAACATAAGGCCGCTTCCTAGACAATCCTGTTCATAGGACCAGTCCTCATTTATTCTAAAGACCCCTCAAATTCTCTTTCCCCCCCCCAAGGTTTTTAGAACATAAGTAATATAGATCTTGCTCTGCACTAGAAAGCACAAGTTCTCCAGTGATAGGGAGTCTCAACTGATTGATAGACAATTGCTACATAACACAGGACGAGAAATAACGGTCCTTGAGTATATATATTTCTTATGCCAGAGTATCTTTTCCAAAAGAGAAATATCTAGCTGTAGGATGGAAACCAGATATGGCTGGATATGTGAATATTATAAAATGAATCTGCATTTGTTTCAGTTTATTTATCTTTAAATATAAAAGCCACACAAAAGCTGCCATCATCCTCTTCGTTTAATTTATACATCGCTGAATTGCCAAAATGGCCTCTAAGTGGTTTCTAAATGTAAAACCAATTGCAAAAACAAACAAACAAACAAACAAACAAAAAACCCAGCTATGCTGAGCATCAAAGGCAATGATCTTTACAAGTCTCCCCTCTCCCCAAGCCGTGTTATGACAGTTGCATACATTTCCCTCACTGGAATTTACTTTCCCAGATCCTGGCCCTCGAGAGCCGTATTCTGGAGGTGGAGCTCCACGATGAGAAGACCACTGGGGAGCGCAATGCCTTACAAGAGCGCTTGAGTGCCCTAGAGACCAACCGCAAGGAGCTGGCAGACGAATATCTTGTTCTGAAGAGCAATTATCTTGCACTGGGCAAGGAACATGAACAGGAAGTATGGGCCGCTCATCTTCCGTGGAAACCTTCTCCATCCTTGTGCAGTTTAGATGTTTTGCTGGGCGGGGCTGATGGGAGTTGTAGTCCAAAAACATCCGGAGGGCGCTACGTGGTGATGGTTGTAGAGGCTGTAAAGGGTTTTATACACCAAAAACAGCTCCTTGAACTTCCAACACGTAGAAATTGAAAACTGGTCAGCTTGTAATAGCTGGCTTCCAACCCAAGGGATGGCCTGCACCTCCATAACTTACCTGCTTTGCTTTGTAGGTTGCTAAGAATGAAGAGCTTAGCAGAGAGTTACTGAACTTGGCCAATGCCCGAGGCAACAGCCCCAAGTCCCACGCTCAAACCAACAAGGATTCTGTGGAGTTGGAAAGGGTGCGAGCCTTGGTCCACCGTCTCTCTGCCCGCAAGGTGAAGGTATGCATTTGTGGCCATCTAAGGGACCCTCCATGTCCTTTTCATTGTGTGTTCATGATGGTATCAGGGTAGTCACATGCGATCCTGCTGTGCATGCTGCTTGTCGCTGCAAGAACAGAGTCCTGCACTAGATGGGGTTTTAGCCTGATGCAGCTGGATCTTCTGATGCCCTTATCTCTTTCGTATGCAGAAATCTAATGCACGATGTCTTCTGTGTCTTCTTGCCATAGCCAGAAGAGGTGGTGGCTTCCGAACATGAACGGCGGAAACTGGAGAGAAGTGTGAGTGTGCGGTGGTGATTGTGCTGTGCTCTGAAGAGAGGGGCGAGGGAGGGAGGGACGCCAGGCAAAGCATTTTGGTGCCTGATAGAAATTCAAATCAGTTTGCTCCTGCAGCCAATTGGAAGCTGTGCCTTGGTTTTTGAACGGTTCCAGGAGTCGAACGGACTCCCGGAACGGATTAAGCTCGACAACCAAGGTACCACTGTACATTAGGGGGGGAAATCTGCACCTAAATTCACAGGAATTCTCATGAGGACTTTTAAAATGAATGAATGAATGAATGAGTGAGTGAGTGTTATTGTTATATGGAAATGTGCATAGCTGAACTTTAGATTTGGACAGCAATGGAGCATATGCCCACAATGCCCAGGGAGGGGGCGCTTCCGAAGGGGGCGTAGTGTGGAGGGTGCCCTCCCAGGCACAGGATAGCCGCTCGGGTGCACGGATTGGTCGCACGCCCTGCAGCCAGGGGCAGAGTGAGCCACCGATTGGCAGACATTCGGCACTCCGCCCACCGTGACTCCCAAGCCTCCCCCAGCTGTCAAAATGAAGGGGGAAGGGGGGATGCTGCTGGCAAAGCAGCGCAGCTCCCCCCTTCTCACAATGGCTCGGAGTTGGGGTAAGCTTGGGAGTTGTGGGCGGGCAGCACACCAAATGTCACCTCCTCCCAGCAAAGACACCCGGAGTGACTCGCCTCCACCGCATCCCCCTTCCTCTGCCCCTGCATTTGAATAAAAAAAAATTCTCCCCCTCTCACGACACTACAATTCATGGTCATCCAATGAAGCTGAAGGTTGAAAGATTCAGAAACAGATTTTCAAAAAGTCCTTCTTCACAAAGTGCATGGTTAAACTCCGGAACTTGCTCCCGCAGGAGGCAGTGCTGGTGATCGACTTAGGTAAAGGTAAAGGGACCCCTGACCATGAGGTCCAGTCATGGCTGACTCTGGGGTTGCGGCGCTCATCTCGCTTTACTGGCCAAGGGAGCTGGCGTACAGCTTCCGGGTCATGTGGCCAGCATGACTAAGCCACTTCTGGCGAACCAGAGCAGCGCACGGAAATGCCGTTTACCTTCCCGCCAGAGCGGTACCTATATATCTACTTGCACTTTGACGTGCTTTTGAACTGCTAGGTTGGCAGGAGAAGGAACTGAGCAACAGGAGCTCACCCCGTCGCGGGGATTCAAACCACCAACCTTCTGATCGGCAAGCCCTAGGCTCTGTGGTTTAACCCACAGCGCCACCCGCGTCCCTGGTCATCGGCTTAGATGGCTTTAAAAGAGGATAGGACAAATTTGTGAAGGACAAAGGCTATCAGTGGATACTAGTCAAGATGGCTATGCTCTGCCTCCACAGTCGGAAGCAGTAATGCTTCTGAATACAGTGATACCTTGGGTTACAGACACTTCAGGTTACAGACTCCGCTAACCAAAAAATAGTATCTCGGGTTAAGAACTTTGCTTCAGGATGAGAACAGAAATCACGCGGCGGCAGCGGGAGGCCCCATTAGCTCAAGTGGTGTCTCAGGTTAAGAACAGTTTCAGGTTAAGAACAGACCTCCAGAACGAATTAAGTTCTTAACCCGAGGTAACACTGTACCAGTTGCTTGAAACAACAGAAAGGAAGAGTGTTTTCGCACTCAGCTCCTGCTTGAGAGTTTCCTACAATCATCTGGCTGGCCACCAGGAGAACAGGACGCTGAATTGGATGGGCCATTGGCCTGATCCAGCAAGCTCTTCTTATGTTCTCAATATGTAACTAACTGCTTCTTCTGATCTTTTACCACCTCCAAGCTTTTTGGAAACCAGGATCACATCACTGCTCAGATTGAAAAGATGAAAGAAATGTACAACTCACAGCAGCAGAAGTTAGAGGAGAGAGTGTGAGTACGAGCCCCCAGCCTAGTCCCCCATCCACCCCCCGAGCGAATCAGAGGGTTATATTCACTGCAAACTTGCATTGGTATTCTGCCGCACCGCTCCTTGTCTCTGCAGGGTGACCCAGGGCAAGGAGCTGCAGGAGGCCAAGAAGGCGATCCGGAACACGCAGCACAAGCTGGCAGAACAGTCGGTGGTAAGGAAACCTTGGAAGTCACAGCTGAACTACACCGTCAGCAGGATTTATGGATCACTAGGGATGGGGGAGCAGTTCCATTCACATTTAAAGGCACGTCGACCTAATTTGCACTTTCTGAAGCAATATGCCAGCCAAAGAAAACAGCCGTCCTTCAAAACGGGTACTTCTCCACATTTTGCAATGCCGTTCTCCAGCCAAGTAATGTGTACGAAGAATGCAAATATTTGGGCGAAGTGTGCGCGTATTGTTGAAAAGAACATATAAAAATGCATTCTCTTGGGGAACACTGCTTTGCAAAAATGTGCAGGTTGAGTAAAATGGCATGTATATATGTTTGGAGGAACTTGGACTAAAAGGCTGATGGATATTCATGAGGGTTAAAAAAAATAATCACAAATTTAGGTGGAAATGTGGAGAGCGGAAGACTGGGGGGGGGGGGGAAAGGAGAAACAAAAATTGAAAGATTTGCCCATCCATATGAACTCCTACAATCTTTAAATTCTGAAGAGGCTATTGAAGCTTGGGAACCTAAAAGCAGTTTCACGCAACATCCTCAAACGCATAGTTAATACAACGAAGTTGCTTGCCAAATGCCAATGAGTTCCAGAGGGAAGGTGCTGTCAAACTGAAGGATCGATTCCTTACAAGTGTGGAACGGACTTCTCGTTTACAGAATGGGCTCTTAATTTACAGATTGCAGGTGTGATGCTTTTCGACAGATGATCTGCCAGTAGCTTGCACCACTTCAGATTGTGGGTGGCAGATTTAATGCTCCTTGACATCAGAAACTTATTCCACATGCAGTGCAATGCCGTATACACATATGGAAAACATCTAAAGCCAGTATAATAACAAATTCAGGAAACAGAGTAACAAATGAAAAATGAGATGAGCCGAATTTAGAAGCTTGCTCCTTCCTTGTCCTCTTGCCTTCTCGTTCACAAATCCCCCTCCCTCAAGGGATGGATTAATCTGTCGCTTTTGACTTCTCTCAATTTCTCATTTTGTCCCAACCTTAAGTTCAGTTTGCTACATTTCCTCATCAGTTTTTGATTTATTTGTTTTTAAATAGGCCTTGTGAAAATCCCCCAGTATTGCAGGGCACCGTTTTCTAATATACACATGTTCTGTTCTTATTTATTAATTTATATGCAGCTTGATTGCCAAAGGAAGCTTCTAAGCAGTTTGCAAAATATTAAAACTAATTCACACAAACGTTAAAATGCAAACACCCGTAATAATTAAACTGTCTATACAATCAAACAACCCCATTAAAACATAAACATCCCTAATGAAAATCTACTATAGATTTTTGGGAATTCGTTTGTTTGCTGTGGATTGGGACACCTCTTAGGACACCGTAAGGAAATTTTGTATGATGGTTCCTGAGAGCAAGGAGCAGGTTTTCATCTAGGTTTGGATACAACTGGATGCCAAGATGGCGGACAGAACCGCTCAAAACTGAATTGACTTTTTTGGTTTCATATTATTCCCGAACAACACTAGGCGCTGGTCTACTAGTACATAATAAAACAATCCATTCAAACAACAACACAGCAGTTGAAACAGGAGGCTCAAGTCAAGAGAACGCCTGTGTAAATAGGTGCAACCTCAAAAGCCGGCAGAATGCCAATACAGATGATGGCACCTCATATTTCAACAAGAAATTTTGCCTGCAGGTATTACTCTCGTCCCAAAGCCAGCTTCAAGAAGTGGAGGCAGAGAATTCCTGGCTTCAGCTGCAGCTGAAGGAATTGAACGAGGAATACAGGTCGCGGCTCCTTCAGTACATCACAGATCTGGCGGTGAGCAGTTCCATTTGGGGTGGGTGGGTGGCAGATGTGCCAGAGCCTGGATCTTCTCCACCAAATCCCAGAGCAGCTGGTGGTGGTCCAAGCAGACAGTACTGGGCTTTGATGGCCAAACCATCTGACCCGGCCTAAGGCAGTTTCCTGACTTCTAATCCCAGCCAGGATAGTGGCAGAATTATGGAGCTCGGAAGAGGGCAAGCCCGGACCAGGAAATCAGGAAGAGACAATGGGAAACCTTTCCTGTGCCTGGATTCTTTAGGGTCACTGGAGACTGGATTCCTCACAGCACTTTAGTGTGCTCCCATTCCCAGTTTCAAAATAAATGGGCCATGAATGGGGAACCCTCAGGTCTGGAGGAGCCAATGGTCTCTCTATCTGCCTCCAAAGCCACAGCCCTTACCAGCTCTGCTGTGCACCTTCTTTGAGTGCTTTTGCCTGGCTGGAATGTGTCCATGAACCCTGAATTTGCATGTGTTGCTCCACCCACTTCTGCCTCTGGTCCCGCCCACCAGGGTCATGTGTCATCTGGAAGGTTGTCCAGAAGGGACTGTGGCGTTTGGTCAGAAAAAAGATTCCCCACTCCTGTACTGGGTTAACATATGAGACTGTCTCTGTGTGTCTGTGTTTCAAGGAGCACATGGACAGCAAGTCAGTTGCCGCTGCAGCAAAAGGGACCAGCAAAAGCACCTTCAAACCGGCTCACATGAAGCGCTTTGTGGATGGCATGCTGCAGGACATCCGAGCTTCATACAAGTCTAGGGAGGAACAGCTGGCCAAAGCCACTCGCAGCTACAAGAAACGCCTGCAGAACTTGGTCAAGAGGCACGAGGGCCTGCTCATTGCGTACAGGTAGGGGAGAGGCCACTAGCGCTGGCAGTTATTCCTGCAGTGACCATAGCATAGGCAAATCCCCTAGTAAAGGTAAAGGGACCCCTGACCATTAGGTCCAGTTGTAACCAACTCTGGGGTTGCGGTGCTCATCTCACTTTATTGGCCGAGGGAGCCAGGTCATGTGGCCAGTATGACTAAGCTGCTTCTGGCGAACCAGAGCAGCGCACAGAAACGCCGTTTACCTTCCCGCTGGAGCAGTACCTACTTATCTACTTGCACATGAAGTGCTTTCGAACGGCTAGGTTGGCAGGAGCAGGGACCAAGCAACGGGAGCTCCCCGTCATGGGGATTCGAACCGCTGACCTTCTGATCGGCAAGTCCTAGGCTCTGTGGTTTAACCCACAGCGCCACCCACGTCCCCAAATCCCCTAGTGCCGGTGGTTAAATCCTACCCCTGGTAAGAGGCAACCCCCTAGTGCAGAAAGTTAGCCAGTAGAATCCAGACACCAATTGTCAGTAAAACAGGATGTTTATTTAGGTACTGAAAGGCCGGTGCCACACAACCTCAAGTAGTTGAGTAGTTGAGGGGTGGCACACCAAATATGAGAACAGCACATGCGTTTATAGTTACCAGCAAAGGGACAGTTCTGTCTATAAATGGCAATATTTCCTTCTACTAAAGTCTACTGGGTTTCATCGTCAGACATCAAAACTCCTCTCCTCCCTCCTGCTTCCTTATAGCAGTATCTCCTGCGAACGTGTCGTTCCGTCCTTCTCTCATGTTCTCTTGCAAACACAACCTTCACATTCCAACCTTCTCATGCACATTTCAACTTCCATTCTATAATCAATATTACAGTGCCTGGAACTGAGGCAATCCCCATAGTGCTGGCAGTTAAATCCTACAGTAGCTTGACCTGTGGCTCCATCCTTTTCGGTGGTTGCACCTCCCTAAGAGTTGATTCATCAGTTAATCTCAACGCACATGGAAGCTATCTTTGATGCGTCTGATGAAGTGGGCTCTCTGGCATATGCAAACGTACAATAAAACTTGTTGGGGACTTTAAGGTGGTGTGTGCTTGCGCACATGTGCTGCGTATCACTGTGAGTATGTGGTTAGCAATATTCTCTTTGCAATGCCTAAGAGCTGATCTGTAACCCCTCTGTTTGCAGGATGCAGCGTGAACAGATTCGGTCGCTGGGCAGCCACGATCTGGATCCTGGCCCACCAGAACACCATTTCACCATCACAGATGCCGAGCTGCTGACGAGCACCTCTCAGGAGCTGAACCGGCTGCGGGAGGATAAAGCCAGCTTGGAGGGCCAACTGCATGAAATGCAGATGAAGGTGAACCGGGGTGGACTTTGTTGCCTGGATGCTGGGCCCTTCTAATGGAGGAGCCTCTCTGTTTGGCCCTTGGGCCCTGGCCACGCCCTCTTTCCCAAGGCCACACCCAGTCACCAGTCCTGCAGTATTACACCTTTGAAATATACTCGGAGTCGAGAGTGGATTTCATGCTCTTTATTCAGTTCATAGTGGTGAGGAGGAATGGAAGTTTTCCCCACAATATCTGCTTTATATACATTATTTACACAATGGGCTGCACGTGATTGGCTAATTCCGGGATTCTCCTGTAGGCCAATCAGGTTGTGGATTCACTTCCACCTGGAGCTGGATTGCATGGCTCCTGCAGACCAATCATACTGTTGCATTGTTCTAGGACCAATCAGACTGCTGCATTCTGGATCCTATTGTTCTAGGACCAATCAGACTGCTGCATTTTGGATCCTAGTCAACTCAGTACATAACAGCCTTCCTTTTCCCCCACGTCTGTCCCTGAACTCTGATAAAGCCCGTTGCTTGTATGGAGAAGGGTGGGTGAGTTTGTTTAGAAACTAGCCCTCTGTACAAAGGTGACATTGATATTCATGGTTCTGCCGCTCAGTGGCATGTGGCCCCAGGAAGGTTGTGCAGAAGAAACTGTGGCCCTCAGGCTGAAAAAGACTCCACGCCCCCAAAATGGAAAATTTGATCAAATCCATCACCTTCCCCCCTGCTTTCCCTTACAGGTAAAGTTAAGTCAAAATGCTGGCTCAGGGACATCACCTCCGCAGTAAGTACTGTTTCTTACTGTACATCAGGGCTGGGGAATATGCAACCCTCCAAATATTCTTGGATTCCATCAACGTTGCACCACATTGACATCGCATAATACCACAACCGCACATCCGCATAATGATACATAATACCACATCCGCATGGTGTAATGGACTTTGGTATGCTGAAATGCAGGAGAAATTCATTTCCTTTCTCCTGAGTTTACAGCAGCTAACATGACCTCTAGAGGGAGATCTTGCAGCCCTCAACAAATTTCTACGTTAACCGGCACACAATGCATTCCTCGGTTCATACCATCCTTTCTATACAGTCAGAATTCCCCGAACATCAAATGTGACCTATATTTTGCTTATGCAGTCCCCGGACAGGCTACGAAGAACTTTCCCACGGCTTGCCTGCATACTTCCTCACAATTAGATCACCTATCCTCACGATTTAAGCCACCCCAGTGAAATAAGTGGATTTACCCAGAAGCATAGTAATGGAATTTGCAAATACATAAATGGAAGAGTTGCATTCCAGGGCTTCTGGAACCCTCCCTTTCTCACCAGCCAGAGCCCATTGTTTTACAGAATGCTTTGCCTCGTACAATATGTGGGGCTGCTAACGTGACTTTGTATTTGCTCAACTGACCATCTTTGAGGGGGAAGATAGTTCTACTAGGGGCAGCCAACACAGTGCCTTCCAGATATTGCTGGACTCCCAGCACCCATCCACCCTGTGACCATGAGCCACACTGGCTAGGGCAGATGGGAGCTGGAGTGCAGCAACATCTGTAAGGCACCATGTTAGCTACTCCTGAGGGTCTGGACAAGAGATAGAGCAGCCTTTGCCAACCTGGTGCCCTCCAGATGGACATTAGGTCATCTCATGCTGATATCCAGTCATCTAGTTCTCATTTGTCTTTTTCATGAATGATACTTGATAGTGAATTACTTGTGCCCTGCAGGAAACATTCTTAATTTCATACCATACTGGTGCCCCTTCCAGATATTTTGGGCTACAATTCCCATCATTCCCAACCAGTTTGGACGTGCTGTCTGTGGATAATGGGTGTTGTATACCAAAAACATATGGAGGCTGACGAGTCACAGAAAAAAATGGATGGCTTGCTGACAGGGCTCTTTCCAGTTCCCTTTTGCTCCTTTTTATTTTCAGCATGCTGGATGAGGCGGGCTGGGCTGAGCTCCGGAAACAACTACGAGAGTTCACTCAAACCACACAGGTAAAACACTCTGGTAACACAGTAAGGCCAATAGTGTCAATACACACTGTATTTGTGTGTGTGTGTGTGTGTGTGTGTGTGTGTGTGTGAGAGAGAGAGAGAGAGAGAGAGAGAGAGAGAGAGAGAGAGATCATATCCCATATTCATATTCTGCTGGATCAGTTCAATGACCCATCTAGTCCAGCGTATAACAATTTGTACCCCACCCATCTGACTGGGTTGTCAATTCTCACAGTGGCCAACCAGATGCTTGTGGGAAGCCTGCAGGACTTAAAACTCAATTTAAGTTATGAGTGCAATAAGGATTAAGTATGGATTTCAATTCACACCTGCTCTTTCTTCCCCCTTTCAAGTAACTTGAAATACCCCATCCATTATGAACAGCACATATTTTCGAATAAAAACTCCCCCTTGAAACCACACAGATATGTTGGTGTAAAGGCCAGGCAATGGTTCCTGTATCTAGACCTGAAGTCTAGAACTAAGGCCTGGGGGCTGGATCTGGCCCAATCGCCTTGTAAATCCGGCCTGTGGACATTCTGGGAATCAGCATGTTTTTATATGAGCAGAATGTGTCCTTTTATTTAAAATGCATCTCTTGAGTTATTTGTGGGGCCTACCTGGTGTTTTTATATGAGCAGAATGTGTACTCTTATTTAAAATGCATCTCTGGGTCATTTGTGGGGCATAGGAATTCGTTCATCCCCCCCAAAAAAAAATATAGTCCAGCCCCCCACAAGGTCTGAGGGACAGTGGACTGGACCTCTGCTGAAAAATTTTGCTGACCCCTGCTGAAGGGGGTGTTTGGCAGTCTGGGTCTTTGTATGAAAGGGGGTGCTGTTCTATTCATCTGCCAAAAGCACAAGGCCACAAAGCACAGCTAAGCGGCAGAACATCTACTTTGCATCGGGGGGGGGGGGGCTCCACACTGGCTACCTCTGTTTTATAGGACAGAGTGGTTTTGGTACCGCCCTTGTTACGTCATTATCTTTATTAATTTTTATACTGCTTAATGCCATACCAGGCATCCAAGCAGTTCAAAAGTATAAAAACCAACCACAGAAGCATTAAAATATAAGAATCCATAATTAAAACACACAGTAAAACAATCCCATTCAGAGAAACATCCATAATCAGAGCAGGCAATTGAACAATCCCATTGAAGCAGCAAAGTGATTAAAAACAAGAGGCAGTGATATCAAGGGAGCACCTGTGTAAAAAGGGGCATCTTCAAAAGCCAGCAGAATGCCAGTGCAGATGGGTTTCTCTCATATATCAAGCAGGGAGTGCTGTTTCATTGTTTTAAACTCTGTGAGCTGCTAATAATAATAATAATAATAATAATAATAATAATAATAATTTATTTGTACCCTGCTCATCTGGCTGGGTTTCCCCAGCCACTCTGGGCGGCTTCCAACAAAGACAAAAAAATACACTAAAATGTCACACATTAAAAGCTTCCCTGAACAGGGCTGCCTTCAGATGTCTTCTGAATGTCAAGGTAGTTGTTTATCTCTTTGACATCTGATGGGAGGGCGTTCCACAGGGCGGTTGCCACTACCAAGAAGGCCCTCTGCCTGGTTCCCTGTAGCTTTGCTTCTCGCTATGAGGGAACCGGCAGAAGGCCCTTGGCGCTGGACCTCAGGGTCCGGGCAGAACGATGGGGGTGGAGACGCTCCTTCAGGTATACTGGGCCGAGGCTGTTTAGGGCTTTAAAGGTCAACACCAACACTTTGAATTGTGCTCGCAAACGTACTGGGACCCAATGTAGGTCTTTCAAGACCGGTGTTATGTGGTCTCGGCAGCCGTCACCATTCTAGTTGCCACATTCTGGATTAGTTGTAGTTTCCGGGTCACCTTCAAAGGTAGCCCCATGTAGAGCACATTGCAGTAGTCCAAGCGGGAGATAACTAGAGCAGTGTTTCCCAACCAGTGTTCCGCGGCACACTAGTGTGCCGCGAGACGTTGCCTGGTGTGCCGCGAGATGTTGCCTGGAGGGAGGCGGGCGAGTCGGGCGGCGAGAGGCGGGGCGGCGGCGGCGAGGAGAGGCCGCCCAGCGCGGGGCTCTCGCCGTCTGCCTGCCTGGCTGCCTGCGAGCTCGGCGGGCAGCGCCTCCGTCCGCAGCGCCCGCCTCGCGGCTCTCATTCCCTGCCCCTGCCAAAGCTCACCCAGCCAAGCCGCGCTCTCCTTCCTGCCTCGCTTTGCTGCCTCCTCCCCCCCCCCCCAAGCTTGGAGGTTCCCCGGCGCCGACCCGCAGGTTTGACCCCCTTCTCACACCTGTTCGCGCTCCTTGCACAGAATGGGGCGGATGGGAAGGAACGGGACTCGCCGCTGCCTCCGCTCACCCTCCCCCCCCTCCGCCGGCGGTCCCGCGATTCTTGGCTTTTTTGGCGGTTGGCACAGAAGGAAGGCAAGGGGGAGGGGAAAAAATTGAAACTTACACTTTCGTGCGTCCCTCCCGGCGTGACGCTGCGCGCTGACGTCACGGGGCTGTAATGGTGGAGTGCCTCGAGATTTTTTTCATGAAACAAGTGTGCCTTTGCCCAAAAAAGGTTGGGAAACACTGAACTAGAGCATGCACCACTCTGGCGAGACAGTCTGCGGGCAGGTAGGGTCTCAGTCTGCGTACCAGGTGGAGCTGGTAGACAGCTTCCCTGGACACAGATTTGACCTGTGCCTCCATGGACAGCTGTGAGTCCAAAATGACTCCCAGGGTGCACACCTGGTCCTTCAGGGGCACAGTTACTCCATTCAGGATCAGGGAGTCCTCCACACCAGCCCACCCTGTCCCCTAAGAACAGTACTTCTGTCTTGTCAGGATTCAACCTCAATCCATTAGCCGCCATCCATCCTCCAACCGCCTCCAGGCACTCACACAGGACCTTCACCACCTTAAAAACATACGGGTGGAAAAAGTGGCCTATACAAATATGGTGTAGTGGTTAAGAGCGGTAGTCTCGTTATCTGGGGAACCGGGTTTGCGTCTCCGCTCCTCCACATGCAGCTGCTGGGTGACCTTGGGCCAGTCACACTTCTTTGAAGTCTCTCAGCCCCACTCACCTCACATAGTGTTTGTTGTGGGGGAGGAAGGGAAAGGAGAATGTTAGCCGCTTTGAGACTCCTTAAAGGGAGTGAAAGGCGGGATATCAAATCCAAACTCTTCTTCTTCTTCTTCTTCAACCGCCTCCAGGCACTCACACAGGACCTTCACCACCTTAAAAACATACGGGTGGAAAAAGTGGCCTATACAAATAAAATTAAAATCTGCCAGTCTACCCATCCTTTTTTTTTTTTGTCCTTCCTGCCTCTATGGTTCCCTTCTCCCAACCTCAGGAGGATCTCGAAAAGGAAAGGAGTCAGCTGCTGACACGGGCGATGGTGGCAGAAGAGCAGGTAGCCGAACTGCAGGAATATGTGGATAAACACCTTGTAAGGTGAGAGGTCTTTTCACCTGGGTGAGGTTTTAACTGTCAAAATCTTTCATGGGGCTCTCCCGTCGGCTCATGTCTAATAATCATACCACTTGAACATTTTCACAAAGCAGGAATGGGCAATCTTTTTACAGCCCCATGGCTGCCTTCCCAGTCACAGCTTCCCCATCCTTGTTCTGGGTGCTGAGTCTCTTCAGCAGCTCCACTCAGTGCCAAGTTTCCTGAACTGAGGAATCCAGCCTGGTGAAACAGTAATATAGGGCTAGCCAGGCCCTTATTGGTTCCTCCAATCACCTGACCCCACTGGGCTGAAAAACAGCAGTACCATCTCCCCCATTGCCTTATACAGCTTGGGCTGGAGGAGGAAATTAGAGGCAATTAAGTTGGGATATAAATGACATAGCCCAGGAAACCTCCTGGTCATGAGAACCAGGTGGCCTTGGTCAGCCAATGTCCTCCTACTGTCTCCCACACATAGACTACCAAGCCTACTCTGCTCTCACAGTCCCTCGCCACCAAAGGGAGCCACATGGAAGCTCATTACTCAGGCGGTTCCATCCACCTTAGGTACCTGCATTTAAATGTCTGCATTACATTCTCTCCCCACTGGATTTGATCAGGCCCTTGCAGAGAAGGTTTGCGACCACAGCAGAACTGGGTTAACGCTGTTTTCACTGTGCTGTTGTGCTGCAGGTACAAGCAGGAGATCTTGAGGCTGAGGAAACTTCTGGGAATAGACAGCCACGAAGAACTAATTGCCGGAGCTTCTAACCCTCTGGCAACTTCAAAACCCAAGAGGAATTTCAGTAATGAAATGTAGTCTCTGACACCCAAGCTATGGGAAGAAAAGGCTTTGTAGCATCCTCAAGGAGGACTGGCACCTTGGCCTGAACAGCAGGTGGATCACAGTGGTTGGCTATATTTCCATCCCCCAGAATAGACTCCAGGAAGCAAGTGGCTCAATGAAGGCCTTTCAGCAACCATTTTTGTCTTTTGTTTTTTAAAAAATCCTGTCCTTTGTCTAAGAGGCTCAGAGCTGTTCTTCCACCCATATGCTACCCCCAAATTATCTTCATAACAACCCTGGGAGGTAGGCTAGGATGAGAAACCATGCCTGTCGTCCACCAATAACCATGGTGGAGCAAGGATTTGAACCCTAGTCTGAGACACTCAATTCACATCTTGTAAGCTCTTACATTCCAAATGCGCTTGCTTCTTCTTTCAGTATTTCCATTGAATTCTTTCTCCCTTCTGTCTTACTCTAACCAGCTTTCATTCTGACATTCAGATGCTTATATTGTGTTCCAGTGAACAAGCCAGCTTCACGGCTGAACTTGAAAAGTTGGTTTGTTTAGTAACTTGTTTAGTAACCTTGGCTGGAATAAAACCACGAACCCTGGTTCAAATGACAGCCTTTGAAAGCGAAACTAAACTCAGCTGAAGTCCCCACCCCGGTTATATGGGAATTACGTGTAACACCAAACCATGATTTAGAGTAGTTTGCAAACCATTACCACCGTGTGTAGAAATCTGAAGTTGTACCATGTTAGTAAAATAAATCACTATCTGGTACATTAATCCTCAGCACCCCGAGGATCACAGTTCTCTTTATTTCACAACCAAAGCTCCAAGCTGAAGCATAGCATGGGTTTGCTAGCCCAATAAGATCTTAGCAGCCCACTGGACCACACACTGAGATGAGTAAAAAAAATAAGTGCTGTGAAAGTTCATTACAAAAAAATAAATAAATATACACACTACTCCACAATGAAGAGACAAACCTGTCCCATCCTGCGGCAAAGGTTCTAATGAGTTTCCAGAATTAGCAGGATTCAGGGGAGGAGTTACGGAAACCATGTGATTTCCCTTGACAAATCATCTCATTGTTCCTGCCTTCTTCCCTCCCTCCCACACCCCAGTGCTTATAAAGGGCTGTCAAGGCCAGCAATTGGAAAGAAGCAGATTTCACTCTCTGAGCCACTGGAAACAGCCCTTGACCGTCTTGCAAAGGTGCCTGCTTGTTTCCTAGAGGACACGTTCTTATACCGGGCTTCCCTCTGGTCTGTCCTGCTCGGATTGCCGTACAGTCTTGATGTCGTAGGCCCAGGCTCGGTTCAAACCTTCCCCAGCCATGCTGGTGGGTGTCCAGTTGGGGAGGGGGAAGCGTCCAGCCACCACACGGGCCTCATCCGGAAGTTCCACAAGCAGCTTCTTTTCCAGAAGCTGCAACTGAGAAATGGGAAGGAAAATGCCTGGGTTATATAACACACACACACACACACACACACACACACACACACACACCACTTAATTGTATGGAAACCTCTAACTGGTTTTTTGAAAAAATAAAAATACAATTATCAAGAAAATATAGTTTTAAACAGGTGTTTAAAAACATTCAAAGGGGAATTAAAATCAACAGAACTTTAAAAAGAGATTAAAACACACGTCAACATTCTGCATGGCTGGATAAGCTTGCCTAAACAAAAATATTTTATGCAGATGCCAAAAAGAGTACAGTGGTACCTCGGGTTAAGTACTTAATTTGTTCTGGAGGTCCGTACTTAACCTGAAACTGTTCTTAACCTGAAGCACCACTTTAGATAATGGGGCCTCCTGCTGCCGCCGCACCACCAGAGCACGATTTCTGTTCTCATCCTGAAGCAAAGTTCTTAACCTGAAGCACTATTTCTGGGTTAGCGGAGTCTGTAACCTGAAGCGTATGTAACCTGAAGCGTATGTAACCCGAGGTACCACTGTATAGTGAAGGCACCTGCCTGATGTCAACATGCAGGGAGTTCCAAAGTTCCTTGTAACAGTGCCAGCTCCGCAGGTCAATGTCGAGTTGGCATATATGGTGTAAGATGATTCTGCAAGTAAACTGGTCCTAAGCTGCTATGGGCTTTGTATATGAATAGTAATAGTAAATAAATACGCTTACCACGCTAGGTGCCAAGAACACAGTGACATTCTTACAATCTGACAGATCCACCTTTAAGAGAGAGAACCAAGACTATTGGTTAACCTGATCCAATGTCTGAAGCCCAGCATCAATCCCTAGCACCCAGCCTAATACCTATAATTAAAAATATTCCTATCCTGGCCTAAAAGCTACCTGCCAGCCAGACCTTACAGCCTGGCTCATGAAGAGGCTGACAAACACCAGCAGCCAATGTGTTGTGTGTCCTCTCACTACCCCCAGATTATCTGCGCAATTTCATGGAGCCTCTTATCTCACCTTCCAAAGATCGTCCCGACAGTAAGAAACTTTTCCATAGCAGCCGGCCTTCCAGGCACGATAGCTTGAAAGTCGTAACAGCCATGGATTGAGCTCATAGCCAACAGCGGGTCTGAAACCTTGCTTGTAAGCCTCTAGCACCTGGAAGCACAACCAAGGCACTTATTTCATTGACTGCATTTGTGATCCTTAGAAACACAGGACAGCTGCCTTGCCCCAGGTCAGGCTATTTATCCATCTGACCCAAGTGCAGGGAACCTTCAAACTACAACTCCCAGCATCCCTTGCCATTGGTCATGCTTGCTAAGGCTGGTGGGGGTTGTAGTTCAGTAACATCTGGAGGGCCAAAGGTTCCCACACCTGATCTAGCCCAGATGCATCTAGTGATGCATTCGCAAATAGATTCTAAGATTATTATTTTGGGGGATCTAGCCCTGATCAAGCATTTCCTCAGAAGCTAACACCATCTGTGAAGTTTACTTAAATCACTAATAGCTGGAGGGCTAAAGGTTCCCTAGCCCTGTTCTACTCTTCCCTTTCGATCCAAATTATTATATATTGTAGTTCTTTCAAGGGGGGCACCCAACTTCATGGAAGATGCCACCATCAAGAATCAAGCTCGCTGCTCTTACAATTCTGCCATCGCCTGACCCTAAATCCACCATCTTCCCAGAGCGTCCTTTCAGCAGCGACATCACATTCTCCACTTGATTGGCATTTGCTGGGACATACGGCACCTGGATGAGGAGAAGAAAGAGAGGCAAGCTCTGAGTTGGAAAGGGCCACAGAGTTCTGTGGTAGGGAATATACATGGAATCCTAAAGACTCTAAAACAGTCTTTGTCAGTGCTATTTTTTCTAGAAAAAGTGGTGCTGGAACTCACAACAAACACCGCCTTTGTTCTCTTATAATGACAATGGTGCCCACCTGAGAGGTGTCAGAACTGAGTTCCGATTAATTCCGGCTGAAAATATGCCCTGGTCTTTGCGAACCTGGTGTTTTCTGGGTGTGTTAGACTACAACTCTCATCAGCGTCATATGATGCTGGGGCTGATGGCAGCACAGCCTTGCTAGCGCCACGGGGGGCTCATAGGTGCACCAGACCTTGGAAGAGGGAGCAGCTGACTTGACGTGACTATCTTGTGTTGAGCCAAATCAATTATCTGCCTACTCAAATAGATAGGCGAAAGGGAAGAGCATCACATCAGGGTATAGCATCTGGAAGGCACCCTGATACAGATTGTGATTAAGCATTTCAAATATCTGGCCATCAGAATCCATGAGTCATCCTCAGTGTGTTTGTGCTTTTTTAAAATCTCCAGAGACCCCTCTTGGTTTCATAAGGGAGAGTCCTGCCTGCAGAAGTTCCCTCCCAACACAATAATCATGTGCCAGTTAACTGTGCTGCTTTCCCCTCAAATGTCACAGCAAATCGTCTGCTATGTACCTGTAATTTTAAAGGCACTTTGCGGAATCCTGGCATGAGAATTCCAGCCCACACAACATAGGCGGTCAAGCCAGTGCCTGCTGCAATTTGCAAGAGGTCCCAGACATCCACAGGCTTTCCGTGCAACTCAGCTGCCAATTCTTCAGCATCCTCAGGATCCATGTCTGCAAGAGGGAAACATAAGAACCACCTGTATCAGGCCATCTACTCCAGCATCCTGTTCTCACAATGGCTAACCAGATGTGTCTGGGAAGCCAGGACACAGGAACTGAGTGCAACGGCCCTCCCTCCACTTGTGATTCAGAGATATAATCCAGGCATATGGAGAGAGAACATAGCCCTCATGGCCAGAAGCCATTGATAGCCTATCTTCCATGAATTTATCTAATCATCTTTCAAAGCAACCCAAATTAGTGGTCCTCACTACTTCTGGTGGCAACAAACCCTACACTTTAACCATGTGCTGTGTAAAGAAGCTTTGTTGGATGCCCTTAAATTTTAGTATTATGAGGGGGAGAAACATTTCTGTTTAGGGAAGCTTTTAATGTTTGATGCATTACTGTATTTTAATATTTTGTTGGAAGCTGCCCAGAGTGGCTGGGGAAGCCCAGCCAGATGGGCGGGGTATATAAATAATAAATTATTATATCCTTTCTCCACACTGTGCATAGTTTTACACACCTCTCTCATGTCTCCTCTTACTTGCCTTTTCTTGCTAAAAAACCCACAAATGCTGTAACCTCATGGGGGTGTTGCTCCACTCCTTTTTCTCATTTACATCGATCTTTTTTTTAAAAAAACAAACAAACACACAACCTACAGTAGCTTACATAATTAAATTTTGGTTTTTTTAAAATTCACAATTCCGAAGAAAATGTGTAAACAAACACATCAGCATAACATATAAGCCAGTAGAATGTCACTCATTAAAAGCCTTGAATAATAAAAATGGTCTTTAGAGCCCGTTTAAATGCAGGAGGAAGTTTGGCAGAGTTCTACCATTGTGGGTTCCTCACCACCAAGGAAGGTCCTGCCTCCAATATCCTCCATTCCGATCTTTACTCATAGCTCACTCGGCTCACTAGCCCAGAGGCAAAACTACAACAAACCATTGAGTGTGTTTCATATGTATACTAGAAGCATATAAGGCACCATGCCAAAAGGCCAGGGGAAACTGTTTGAATAACAAATACCAGTGATGTGTGCTTTCAGGAAAATTTGGAACCGGGAAATTTCTCGGTTTTGTGAGATTCAAATAAAGTGCATGGTGTTGTTTAAATGTGAAATTCAAACAAATTCAAAGCCATATGTGGAAATTTATTTTATTGAAAAACTTGTATAATACAGTATTGCAAAATGTGGTAAGTTCAGTAGCACACTCTTCCCTGATACTACTAAAACGTTTAAGAAAAGTGGTGAAAACAACAATAAAAAATTATTAGTGTTAGCATGCCTGAAATATTCATGCTTTCTAGGACGCGTCAAATTGATCATGTTGATTTTAGATTAAAGTTGCAATTTTATACACATTTACCTGGGAGTAAGTTCTATTGAACTCCGTGGAACTTCCTTCTGAATAGATATGTATAGATTGCACGGTTAATTAGTAATGTATCCATTTCATCTGCTGAATCTGATCTGTAATCACTCACTAGATTATATATACTTTCCTGGGAGGAAGTCCCATTGAACTCAGTGAAGCTTACTGCCAAGCAGGAATGCATAGGTCTGCACTGTAGGTTATGAGTTAATTTACAAAACAATAGCATTTCTAAAAATGGACGTTTTCCCTGCTGAAAAACATAACAATGCAGACCTTTCCAGTCCACGTTACTATTGAATGCCTCTTTAAATCAATCAGAAAAGCAGTGTGAGGCAAAAGACAGATGATTGGTTGTGGAATCCCGAAGTCTTGAAAAAATTATTTGGGAGAAGAGGGCATTGACTCTGTTACTGTTTCTCAGCATTACCAAATTTAGCAATTTTAACATTAGAATGTCAACCTTTGCATCAACCTTAAAGCTCCAGCTGCAAAGTGCTGCTTTTAAAAAAATCTTCTCTCCTCCACCCACTTCTTCATTACAATTCAATCAATCAATCAATCAATCAATCAATCAACTTTCATTTGTTACCATACACTACAGAAACGCGGGGGGGGGGGACGGAGCGGGGGGCGGCGGCAGTGTAGCACAGTGGTTATAGAGTTCCAGACTAGGACCAGGGATACCCAGGTTTGCATCTTCCTCGCCAGCCCGCCGGGTGACCTTCAGCCGCTCAACCTGTTTCTCAATTTAACCCAATCGGAGGATGAAGTGGCCAGGGGGCAAAAACAATGTTCGCAGCACTAAGATCCTTGAACGCGAGGTGTGATGTGTAAGAAGAAAAGGCAGGAAGAACGAGAGCAGTGTCTCTGAGAATGGACAGAATGCACCTCCCCCCCCCCCACGGAGTAGCTTTAAATAAATTTTGCTAAATAAGTAAGTCAACTGGGATCAAGAGACAGGGCAAGTTTCTACGGGAGGGACAGGAAAGCATTGCTCTCCAGCGGCGATCTCGCTCTTTTGTTTCTTTCTAGGCACCAACAAGCCCGCGTTTCGGGCGGAAGACCACCTCCTCTCATCCCCCCGCCCCGTATGAGCATAGCACGAAGGCGCCCACTTTACCTATCCCGGGAGCCTGGTCCGCCCAAGTCTCCGTCAGCCCGTTCATTAGGAAGCTCCGTGTGGAAACAAGCACTCGAGGCACATTAAGTTCCGCTAGGGAGAAAAGCAGTCACGAAATTAAAAGACGCCTGCTCCTTGGGAGAAAGGCGATGGCAAACCTAGACAGCATCTTAAAAAGCAGAGACATCACCTTACCAACAAAGGTCCGTATAGTTAAAGCCATGGTTTTGCCGGTAGTGATGTATGGAAGTGAGAGCTGGACCATAAAGAAGGCTGATCGCCGAAGAATTGATGCTTTTGAATTATGGTGCTGGAAGAGACTCTTGAGAGTCCCATGGACTGCAAGAAGATCAAATGCATCCATTCTTAAGGAAATTAGCCCTGAGTGCTCACTGGAAGGACAGATCCTGAAGCTGAGGCTCCAATACTTTGGCCACCTCATGAGAAGAGAAGACTCCCTGGAAAAAACCCTGATGTTGGGAAAGATGGAGGGCACAAGGAGAAGGGGACGACAGAGAACGAGATGGTTGGACAGTGTTCTCAAAGCTACCAGCATGAGTCTGACCAAACTGCGGGAGTCAGTGGAAGACAGGAGTGCCTGGCGTGCTCTGGTCCATGGGGTCACGAAGAGTCGGTCACAACTAAATGACTAAACAACAACAGGGAGAAAAGGTAAGGAATCTCTCTCCGCTGCTGTCACGTTCGCACCATCCATTTAAACACTATGAGGCCCCTTTCAACGCTCATGGCTCCCCCCCCCCAAGAATTCTGTAGTTTGTTAAGGGTGCTGAGAGCTGTTAGGAGGTCCCTAGCCCCCCCCCATCAATGCTACAGTTCCCAGAGTCAAGCCCTCTTTGGGGGAACAAGATTCCCTTAACAACTCTCAGTACCCGTAAAGGTAAAGGAGCCCTGGACAGTGAAGTCCAGTCAAAGGCGACTATGGGGTTGTGGTGCTCATCTTGCTTTCAGGCCAAGGGAGCTGGCGCGCTTCTGGCGCAACGGGACACCGTGACAGAAATCAGAGCGCACGGAAATGCCGTTTACCTTCCTACCACAGCGGTACCTATTTCTCTATTTGCACTGGCATGCTTTTGAACTGCTAGGTTGGCAGGAACTGGAGCAACAGGAGCTCACCCCGTCACGGGGATTCGAACCACCAACCTTCTGACTAGTAAGCCCAAGAGGCTCACTGGTTTAGACCACAGCGCCACCTGCATCCCTCAGTACCCTTAGCAAACATTAGCTCCTAGAATTCTTGCAGGGAGGGGCAGCCATGGCTGAATGGAGAGCTATAAATTGATGGTGTGACCTGCGTTGAATTGTTAAAGATACCAGCAGATGTAACACAGGGCAGGGTTCTATCGCACCTTTAATATGTGTGTATAATAAGTGCCATCATGGCAGGACTTTTATGGCAGAGGGCTAGGAATTCAGCAGCATGAGCAGAAGGGAACACAACCACCCCACCTTACACAAGGCTAGCTCAACCTCTTTTGAATTAAGTGAAATTTCACAGGTTACTATTTAAAGCACATATGGGGATCCTGGGCCCCTCAAGATATTGTTGGACTGCTGCAACACCCTTCAGGCTGAAAAGGAGTGGCCCCCTCTAGGAACTTTGTGGTAGGGGGAGACTGGGGTTCAAATGCTCTCTCATTCAGGAAACTCACTGCCAGTGACCAGCTCACAGACTAACCTACTTCATGGGGTCATTGTGAGAATAAAAGTTGGGTCATGCATGACAAGGTGGGATATCAACATAAAAATAAATAACTAGCAATGGTGGGGAATGATGGGAGCAACAACATATGGAGGGCCACAGGTTCCTCACTCTTGATCTAAAGGGATGGAGTGGGACATAAGACCAATGAGTCCAGAGTCTGAAAACATCTCAATCTTGATGTATGCAGATGATTTAGTGCTCATCTCTCTTTCTCTCTTGGAGGTGTTCAGTACATACTGTAAACGTCTGGCATCCTCCCTTCAATATTCCAAATATTATCTAAATTATACCATGTATTAATTTCTACCATTCCCTAACTCTAGCCCTTGCCCCCCAAGCTCTGTTACCCCAGAACTGTAACAGTATATTAAAATAATTGCTACTATGCCGGTGGAGCATTTTCTTGCACTGTGCTATATGGAATTGGGTAATAACCAACTCTGGAAAGAAGCTTGTCAAGATGTTTTAGACTATTATTATTTCCTAGACCTGAGCTCTGCATTGACCTTGAATAAGTGTCATCTAAGGGATTGGCTCTTCTGGATAGAATGTAGAAGGGACTTCCAACTAATTAGAAACACCAAACATCCCATTGCTATGCACTCCTAATAATAGAGCGTTACAGAGCTGGTTACCTGACTAAACTCTCACCAGTTTCCTTAAGAAATGCCTTTATTGAGCTGCATTTCCAAGTGATGCCCACCACAGTCTTGGATTGCCACTCTAGCAAGGTCCTGTACACAAGCGGGTTTTGTATTTGTGTCAACCTCAGGTGAAAGACATCACTCTCTTAGCCTGTAGTGTACATAAAGACTCATGTGTCCCTTAACTACTTTCTGCACCCTTAACAAACCAGAGTTTCCAGGATTTTTAAGGGGAAGTCATGACTCTTAAAGTGGTATAGGTAAAGGTAAAGGGACCCCTGACCATTTGGTCCAGTTGTGACCGACTCTGGGGTTGCAGCGCTCATCTCGCTTTATTGGCCAAGGAAGCCGGCATACAGCTTCCGGGTCATGTGGCCAGCATGACTAAGCTGGCGAACCAGAGAAGCGCACGGAAACACCGTTTACGTTCCTACCTTCCTAGGAGCAGTACCTATTTATCTACTTGCACTGTGAAATATACTCAGAGTCGCAAAGTGATTTCATGCTCTTTATTCAGCTCATAGTGGTGAGGAGGAATGAATGAAAGTCCCCTCAAAGTATCTGCTTTATATACATTATTTACACAATGGGCTGCACATGATTGGCTAATTCCGGAATTCTACTGTAAGCCAATCAGGTTGTGGATTCACTTCTATCTGGAGCATGATTGGGTGGTTCCTGCCAACCAATCATAGTGCTGCATTGTTCTAGGACCACTCAGACTGCTGCATTCTGAATCCTATTGTTCTAGGACCAATCAGACTGCTGCATTTTGGATCCTCTTGTTCTAGGACCAATCAGACTGCTGCAGTTTGGATCCTATTCAACTCAGTACATAACACACTGTGACGTGCTTTCCAACTGCTAGGTTGGCAGGAGCAGGGACTGAGCAACAGGAGCTCACCCTGTCACGGGGATTCGAACTGCCGACCTTCTGATCAGCAAGTCTTACGCTCTGTGTTTAACCCACAGCGCCACCCACGTCCCACTAAAGTGGTATAAAAAGCACTTAAAATGTATGATGTGGACATGGCCTCAGTTCTATGACTCTGCAGTTCTAACAGCACCCCAATACACAGCCTTACCCTTGTGCAGCACACTTTTGCTAGCATCCCCACCAAGAGAGGTAGTCACTCCGGATCTTTCGGCTGCCCATACTGGTTGGGCTTCTCTCCTGGCAGTCACTTCATTACCCTTGAAGCCCAGGCAATGCTGGACTTTAATACTGCCATGTTTTAGAACATGTCTCGCAGAAAGAGGGGGGGGGGCAAGAGGGAAGATTAGACACAAGTCTCTGAGAGGGGTAAAAAACCGGGGGGAAGGAAAGTTTGTATAAATAATGGCCTCCACCCGACTCGTGGCTTTTGGCGTCGTACGTCCGGCTCAGGAGGGAAATGTGATCCTGCTGGACAGATAACTTCAGAGGGAGGGAAACATCCATCATCTGACAGCCCATTAAACAGATCACCCCAGTGTGAAACCAGCCCTCCTCCGCCTCCTTAAACCAACAGCTCCCTAGACCTCTACTGCCCAAATAAACATTGGGGTCCAGGAAAGCCGAGTGGGGGTGGTCACAGACAGGGATACAGGCCAATAGTACACTGTGGTGTGTCACTTCTGTACAGACTATTCCTGTCTTCATTGGTTTCTGGATGTTGGAGCATATACGTAGCTCCTTTCGTCTACAGTGGTACCTCGGGTTAAGTACTTAATTCGTTCCGGAGGTCCGTTCTTAACCTGAAACTGTTCTTAACCTGAAGCACCACTTTAGCTAATGGGGCCTCCCGCTGCCGCCGCGCCACCGGAGCACAATTTCTGTTCTCATCCTGAAGCAAAGTTCTTAACCCGAGGTAATATTTCTGGGTTAGTGGAGTCTGTAACCTGAAGCATCTGTAACCTGAAGCGTGTGTAACCCGAGGTACCACTGTACTTGTAAAAGTTAGTTGCAAATGCACACCTCTCGGTTTTCTGGAGTGTGGGAGTGATACACAAGATCAGCTTGGCTGCTGCATAATGGCAAACGCCCCTCTAATCTAGCAACCTTTTCTCACAGGACCAACTTGATGACCCAGTGGGAAGTCTGAGCTCAAGAGCA